AAGCATCATAATACACCACGAATGGTTCTTCCGGATTAGGCAAAATCAAAATATGAGCGATAGTCAACCTTCTCTTAAGCTCTTGAAAACCAACTTCACACTGTGAAGTCCAAATAAAAGCTTGACCCTTCCTTGTTAACTGTGTCAAAGGTAACACCAACTTAGAAAAACCTTCAATGAACTTCCGATAATAACCAGCTAAACCAAGAAAACTTCTAATCTCATAAACAGATTTCGGAGCTTCCCATTGAGATATAGCCCCAATCTTCGTCGGATCAACGGAAATACCACCACTCAAAATCACATGCCCAAGGAAACTCACTTCCTTCAACCAAAACTCACACTTAGAAATCTTATCATACAACTGTTTCTCCTTTAACACAAATAAGACAATCCTCAAATGCTCAACATGATCCTCTTCACTTTTAGAAAATATCAAAATGTCATCAATGAACACAACAACAAATTTATCTAGATACTCATGAAAAATCCTGTTAATATATTCCATAAATACACCAGGTGCATTGGTCACACCAAACGACATTACAGAATACTCATAATGACCATACCTCGTTCTAAAAGAAGTCTTCTGAATATCTCCAGCATTCACATGAATCTGATAATACCCAGACCTCATATAAATCTTACTGAACACACATGCATCAACCAACTGAACCATTAAATCATCAATCCTCGGAAGTGGATACTTGTTCTTAATAGTCACTTTATTCAGTTGTCTATAATCAACACACAACCTCATTAAACCTTCCTTCTTCTTAACTAATAAAACAGGTGCACCCCACGGCGACACACTCAGACAAATAAACTTTTTCTCAAGTAAATCCTCAAGTTGACTCTTCAACTCTTTCAACTCAGAAGCTGACATCCGATATGGAGCCATCGAAACAGGACTAGTTCCAGTAATTAAGTCGATCGCAAACTCCAACTCACGTTCTGGAGGAAAATCAATTACATATTTAGGAAACACCTCAAGAAACTTACAGACAATAGGCAACTCACCCATAGTTCGCTTCTCACCGAGATCCAACATTGCCAACAAAGCAAACAACACAACACCATCTTGTACAGACTCGTATACTTGCTTAGCAGACAAAAGTAAATCCCTCTTGATACCAGAATCGAGAAAGATAACTGTCTTATCAAAATAGTTGATATAAACATGATTGTATTCAAACCAATTAATACCAAGAATCACATCAAGTTGATCTAACGTAAGACAAACTAAATCAATCCCAAAGTCTCTACCAAAGATAGTTAACAGATAATTCAAACACACAACAGAAGTATACACATAACCTATAGCAGGAGTATCAATAACCATATTTCCATGCATATTTGACAATTCAAGATTCAACCTCTTAACACAATCCAAAGAAATGAAAGAATGCATTGCACCAGTATCAATGATAGCAATCAAAGGTGTACCATTAATAAATCACTTACCTCAGATTAGTCTATCCTCTGCAGTAGTCTCAGAACCATACAATGCAAACACTTTCCCTCTCGCTTGCTCCTTCTTTGGCTTGTCACACTTGGTACTAATGTGCCCTTGCTCACCACAGTTGTAGCAAGTTACACTCAAACTAACCCTGAAATCAATAGCTTTGTGACCTGGCTTTCCATAATTGAAACACTTCACAGAATCCTTTCCACATTCAGAAGCACGATGTCCTTTGACACCACACTTGAATCACTTAATCGGACTAGAAGCTCATCTTCCACTTGGTTTCTTGCCATGACCAACTTGTTGTTTCCTCTTATCATCATACGGTTTTCCACAGAATTGACCTTTCTCTTTCCTACCATACAAATTCTTATAGTAAGAAGCACTCTCCCTACTATCCTCATCATAAATCCTACTCTTGTTTACCAACTCAGAAAAATGAGCAATCTATTGGTAACCAATAGCCTTCTTGATATCAGGTCTCAAACTATTCACAAACTTAAGACACTTAGACCTCTAAGCATTAACGGTATTGTAATGAGGACAATACTTAATAAACTCTTGAAATCTTGCAGCATACTCAGCTACAATCCCATTACCCTTCCTCAGCTCAAGAAATTCCACCTCTTTCTTACCACACACATCTTTCGGAAAGTACTTCTCCAAGAAAGCATCCCGGAAAAGAGCCCAAGTAACCATGATACTATCTTCATCAAACCTCTGAACAGTGTTGTTCCACCAATCCCCAACTTCTTTCTCAAGCTCATGAGTACCAAACTTCACCTTCTGTGCATCAGTACAACTCATGACTCAAAATATCTTCTTGTAGCGGTAGGAATATTGAGACTAAGCCATTGGATTGACTTAACTCGCATAGATCAAATAAAAATCGCTACCGCGCTTTATTGTTTCTAGAGGAATGGGAAAAGACCGAATAACCCAAAAAAATAAGGGGAGAGAATCTAGGTACGAGGGTTGGTTATGCAAATGGAAGGTATTAGCACCCTAAGTATCTACGGTACTCTGCAGAAACCTCTTTGAAATTTTGTGTATTTTGGCTATAAGTGTTGTATAAAATAGATGATAGAGATGAGGAAAGAAGTATTTTTTTACAATTTTTGCACCCGCCGCGGTTGCAAACCTTTATTGCCTAGTACCATCTTCCATGCAATAGGGGACCAGGGTACTCGTAGTTCTCCTTTAAAAAATTTGAAACAAGTGTGTTGGTTAATTTTAAGAGAAGAGACATCATCGTCATATCCGAGTGAAAAACATACTTACTACCCCCGATTATGAGAAAGGAGAATTTGTATCGTCTCAAAATGGAGGATATAGCTTAGATTTTAAAATCAACAAAGCCTAACTAAACACCCTAGTGGAAAACATCTCACTTCACTACATATCCTAGAAGTAAAGTAGCTCACATCACTACAAGAATCAACAAGAGTCTAATCTTTTTGAGAAAAGTTTTTAAAGTAAAAAGCCAAAGTGGAAAAATGGTTAGAATGAGGTTAATTGACTTTTAGTCTTCTCACAGAAAAAGTGTCAAAGTATGATTAAGTTGGTTAAAGTTTGATTAAGAATAGATTTTTAAAAATGCATGGACCTAAGTCCAAGTTTATTATGAAAGCGGTTCAAGTTAGAAAACAATAAGAGTTTTGAAAAAGAGGGAGAAGATTATTGAAATTAAAGAAGATGGGAGGAGATGAAGGTACTATCCTAAAGCATAAGGTAAAAGCTAGGGAAAAGAACTGTCTAACCAACAAGAAGCCAACACTTGACATATGAAGTCAATGTATAATTCTCATCCTTTGGATTGAAGCCAAGCAAGAAAAGATACTAAACCTCTTAAGAATATCAAGCTTGAGATGCATTAAGTCTTCACAATAATTGGGCAGAGTAACCGTTGTATATAGAAGAATTCCCAATCACAGACAAAATATATAATCAGAATAACTTGCACACAAAGAAAATCAATCTAATGTCTTAGGGTAGACCCCAAGAGCTCCAGACAAAATAACAACAGAATCACAAGGTCCCAAGGATAGTCAAGGCTTCTAATCCTAAGTCTGAGAGGTTCACGACTCCATAATTCCAAGGATAATAACCAAATAGTCCGAGTGACCTTAAGGCTTTTTTATTGTTCAAGTTGATTATTAAGTGTCTTAAAAAAGAAAAGAAAAGCTCAAGTGAGAAAAATAAAAATGACATAAAGATAAATGCTCAAGGGAGCAAAGATAAAAAAAAACATGGAATGTAAATGCTAAAATAAATGGTGCGTAAAAGTAAAGGCATAAAATAAAAGCATAAAGTAAAAGCACAAAGTAAAATTCAACTGTTAGTAAATTAGAAGATAAAGGTTAGTTGATTGACCATCTTGAAACTTGCATTCGAAAACTTATTAGAAGATTGATAAAATAAAGCTTCTCAACAATAAGTTTTATTTGCTTTTTGTCAAGTATATCATTCATTTCAAATGCTCAAGACGACTTCTTATGATCATTGATGTTCAAATGATTCACTTAGACCAAAGTTTATGAAAGTTCATTAGAGGATTGATAAGATCAAAGCCTCCTAACAATGAACCTCAAAGTTATTGGATCCAATGTTTCAAATTAACATACTTGGGCTCGCAAACATAAGTTTGAGCCACAAATGATCATTTCTTGAATTGAGACAAAATTTAACGCTATGTTAAGCAATCGTAAGTGGACTTATGTAGAAGTCACGCCTATTTTGAAGCCGGTAAATAGCAATCTATGTACCACATATTAGAGAAATGATATATAGATCATTCTCCAACAATATGTAGCACAAGTGCGAAGGGGATAAGATGAAGATGGAGAGAATGAGAATTAAATTCCACATTTGAACCGAAGAATTTAATCAAGCTATCATTAAAATTATTCATCATTTTTTGTGGAATTAAACTCAACACCCAAGATCTAATGATGTTAATGAAGCTCATGATTAAAATTCTCATAGTTCAAGATCATCCGAAATATATAGAAAAGTAAAATTTCATTTAATAAGCAAGATAGAGTGAGAAAATGATTTTAAAATTGTTTTTAAAAAATATATATAAAAGGAAAAATAGCAAACTATATTTAAAATATCGAATAAAAATTAAAAGAGACCATATAAAAGTCAAAAATACAATGTAAAAAGAGATTAAAATAGATTAATGTTAGCCTTTAGATATGGTAAAATTAGGTGAGGTAATTATATCAAGGGGGTCCAGATTCAAAGGCACATGATAAGCTTTTAAAAAAACATTGAATCAGGATCAATCATCCTCTTCTCAGATGCCACTTGTCCTCCCTACACGATGACGCAAATCATAATGAGATAAGAGAGGAAGAGAGAGTTTTCTTTATGCTGTAACGTTATAGCATTCTATTTCTTCTCAATTTTTTTTTTAAAATAAACTTCTCTCTCTTTCTCATTAAACATCATCATCATATTTATTATTTTTTATAAACAACTGATAAAAAACTAAAGAATGAAATGAGGAAGAACAACGGCGGTCGGTGAGATGATGCGGCAGCGAGAGAGAGTCCACGGTGGTGCCCACGGCTGAGCTCTGGCGGCGCCACTGTGGATTTCCTATTTTTTTTTCAATTTTTTATACATTTGTGTTCGTGTTGCTCTCCTCTTTTCAAATCTCAAAGTGCTTTTTCCATAAACTCAAAGGATCTTGCGAGATCTAAGAAGAAGTTTCGTAAATATTTTATCCAAAAGCAAGGACAGCGGCCATAGAAGTGTAAAAAGAAAGGGAGATTCGGTTTTAGGAAGAAGAAAGCAACCTTCTAGGAGAAGAGTGAAAGAAAAATAGCGGAAGTAGGCTCAGACACGGTGATTTCGGAGATCTCAAGGGGCGGACGGTAGTGGTTGGCTCAGCTCTGGAAAAATAGAAGTGGATTCTGATCAATATTACGGTCAGGTGAGCTCAGTTTTCTGACGAAAGTTCAGAGGTGAGTAGTTAATTTCCCTTTTTGCTATTTACTCTGAATTTTTTAGTTTATCCTCCTTTTTTCCAGTGCACATCGAATGACTTTATACTGCTTAGAACTAGGGTTTGTGTATGAACAAAAAAGGGCTGAGATTGAAACTATGTTTTGGGCTGTCAAATGTGAGAACTGAGATGTTGATTTTGCTCTTCAAAATAAGTCCGAAAATCCATCTCTGTCAAATAATGCCATTATTTTTGTTTGTTGTTTTTTTATGCCAAGTGAATACTAAATGGGCTTTATTGTGTTTAAATGTTTGGAATGATATTAACACTTTTTGGGCTAATTTTTCTTTGTGAGTTATCATGCTAATACACCATATAATTTCTTCTTTTCATGTGTTGATAAATGAGCTTGGAGAAAGTAAATGGTGTGAAGAGTAAATTGTGGCGTAGAAGCAAAATGGAGAAGCTGGGTGTGGGGGGAAATGGTGATTCAAGAAAACAATCAAGGCTATTAGGACTTAGGAAGGATTGTAGCATTGGTGTAACTTTATAAAAAAGAAAGACTTGTTCTTGTAGTAATAGAAACTTGGATGAATCATGTATGGAACTTGAATGAACTTGATTTTTATGTATAATTTTTTTAATCTTGAATGAGAATGGATATTGGAGCTTGCATGAAGAATTTTGGATTCTTGAGAATGAATTTGAAATTAGACACTTGAAAAATTTATAATGTTGCTTGAAATTGATGACTTGAAATTCTCTTGCAACTTGATGGAGTTTCTCCAAGTTCATGTCAATTTCTTCTTGAATTTGCTTCTTGTTGTAAGAAAACAAATGTTGGTGTATTCTTGAAATATGATTTTGAGTTGAAATTATGAATTGGAAAAAAAGAAGAAAGCTTGAATCAAACTTGTAGATTGTGTTGAAGATGATGTATGGATCTCGAATCATGAATGAAGTTTCTTGAAGTTTAGGTAAAAGGGACTTGTGTAGAATTGATGTAACTTTGAAGTTTTGGAGTGGTGAAATGAGGATTCCAAACAATGAAAGGAGTAATGTGAAGTCCTTTGAAACTCGAACAATTTCTCTTCATTTTTTTGATGTTGAAACTTCAATACTTGAATACAACTTTGAACAAATTTTGTGAGAATTTGTGAACTTCACTTTGAAATAAATTTGCAATGTCTTGAACTTGATTGCATCACTTGAGAATCTTGAAGCTTGAAATAAAAAGTGCTTGAAATCTGTAATGAATATCTTAAATTTCAAGGAACATGAATCTTCAAATTATGCACTTGAATTATTTCTTGAGATCAAGATGTACATTTTGCCCTTTGAATTCAAAATAATCCACATGGGTGGTCTTAAATGAAATTGATGAGATTGAATCATTTGATCTTAGAAAAGTTGGATTTGAAAGAGATACTTGAAATTGAGACGACTTGAATTTTCCTTTAACTTGTAAATTCCAAACTTATGAAAGTGAGAATTTCATCCATCTTTTGAATTTTTGAGCTTTTGACATAAATAAATGAATCTTCTATACTCGAAACAATTAAACTTGGGAATTAGTCTTTAAGAATATCACAAACCAAAACTTCAAAAAAAAAAAAAAATTTCAAGAAATAACTCAAGTTCCATTTGAAAAATTGGTGAGATTGCCATTCATAGCAAAAATACTTTAACTTGGTGCCTAAATCTCAAACGCGAGAAATCAACATCTCAAGAAAGTAGCCATGGGATTAATTGAAATTAGAGGTCGAAAATGACCTATAATGTTCCAATAGAAACTGTAACTTTCTAAGCACAATTTGTTTTCGACCTTTAAAGCAAATTTAGGTGACATCATGAAGAGTATTGTGTGAAAATAATCAACCCAAAATGATGAAGATCGAAATAATTATGATCCTAGAAAGCTGGACGAAAGTCATGTGAATTTAGGTCAAAGTCACAAAATGACCTCTAATATACTAAGATTTTTGATGACCTTCTACACATAATTAGTTATCGGCTTATAAAGATAAACTGGAGGTGATGTCAATGATATTCATATGCTCGAAGAATCAATCAAAAATAATGAATAATGAAGAAGTTATGATTATTTGAACTCAAACGTGTAAACATTGACTTTTAGTCAACCATCTTTGAACTAACTGCAGACTTTGTCTTTCTTCACAACCCGAACCACTCTTAATCACACATGGACTTGAGATAATGAGATTCTGATTAAACCATATTCACCCTTGTAAGAATTCGATATTATTCGTCGAATAAGGCTTGGAAATAAACACATGAACCTATCTCGAAGAGTCTTGAGAATTTAAGCAACCAAGCTCGTCTTAACCATACCAACTGAAGCTTCAATAGCGTGACCTAAAATTATAGATCACCACTTTTGAAAAGAAAAATAAACCTTTGAGAACCCGTCCTTGGCATGAACACACCACAACCTTAATCAGAGAACCATCGCCTGAACTCCTTGATCCGAAACCCTGTCTTCTAAAAGAAACAAAATAAATAAGACATATTTTTTTGACTTTGGTTAGAATTCAGCAAAAATATAAAACACATATACATAATACACAAAATTGGGGTGCTTAGTGATCCCTCAAGAGCCAACTTAAAGATAGGATAAAGTAGAAGAAATAACCAAACCTAATATATGATCTTTATGTATTGATAAAAAATGAGATAATGAGAAATATTAGAGAAAAAAGTTGGGCTATAACACTTCTCAATCACCTACAACCAAGCTTGTGCCTTATAAGGTTCAAGCTCTCCCTCAAAGATTGGAGGATTGTTCCTCTGGAATTTCCCTAAAGCATGAAACTTATCATACTCATCTTTGTTACCAATATTCACCTGTGGAATATGTCCAAGAGATCCATCCAACATCCTCAATGCCTCAGAAATAACATCATCATTTCTTCATGCGACCATCGTCTTTATACATCCAAAAAACAACAGACGGAATATATCGATTGTGTCAGATGCACAAATCAAATACAAAGGGAATAAAGACATTAGTAACCTGGCCAATTGACCAACCATGCTCTGATACCACTAATGTAACAACCCTTTCTAACCCCAAGCAATTTAAAACATAATCAGAGTAAGATAGCACGCATAACATCAAAAATGCATCACATGTGTTTACAAAAACAACAAAACAATACCAACATACACCTGATCATAATTATAACACATATTTAAACTTCGTGTTTCATCAAACTATGCATATCACAGCAGAATAATTTTTTTTCTCAAATATTATTAATGATTATATCTCATACTATAATCATATATCCGCATACCAAATCTCATATCAAAATAAGGTATATAATTCAAGCATTAGGCACCAAGGCCATTCAACATACAAATAACAAATACGTGAGTATAACAATATCTCTCAACAACAAACATGAGTTCAAAATATCCCCCCAGTGTTACATGACAAGAGCATCGATTCACTACCCAATTGAGTAGATAAACCAAACTAAGCTCCTCAACTATCCTCGTGTGAAGTGCCACTGTCTTTTGTACCTGAGCAATGTCGCATAGAATATCATTCCAGTAGAAGGGTGAGAATTATATCATTATGGAAATGTATAATAAGAAGTAATTCATAGTGAACATTCATCAAAATAATTCATCACACTTCATATAAACACCCATATAGAATAACTCGACAATTCAAGTACCAAAGTAATCATTATACAAGCATTACAAGTATAGAAATACACACATTTATCACATATAGTACAACGACCACAAATGTAACATCCATGTAACAATTAACCAATTATCACATATTGCAAATCAAGGCAAGTATCACATAATGACTCGTGACATTCCAATGCACTCAATGCGACTCATGCATATGGTACCAACGTGAACATCTAGCTTTTCTTGCTCTCGATTCCATATCTAAAATCAGAGCCACACTTCCAATCCGGACTAGGATCAAAGCCCAAATATGGATATATAGTTCACCGCTTCCGATCCACACAAAGAATAAAGCCACCAAACAGAGTACAATCTCCCTATGAATGCATGTTCAATTATCAACAAATATATGCAATTAAGACCATCTCATGATCTTAATTCTCCAAGCATATCACAATAATTCGACACATTGAATTATCCACCAACAATTGCATGAAACATCATGTATCATATAATCATCATTAGCAATGCTTTTGCATAGCATTAATCATCATTACAACTCACAATTAACATATAGCATATAAAATAACCAATGTTATTTTCAATCACCACCAAAACACAACATACATATACTAAAATCAAGTATCATGTTCCTCATCAAAACTCATTTAAAACCAATCAAAAATACATCGAATAAATTATTAAAATTTATGTAAAATAATGATAAATCATAAGCATGAAAACCCCTAAGCCATTCATGTAAAATCAAAAATTCTGATCCCAGAAACCCGCGCTAAGCGCCCCCACCCACGCTAAGCGCCCTTCGCGTTATGCAGAAAAATCTGCTGCAAACAACTTCTGTCCAATCACGAAAATCCAACTTAGACCATATTCTAGTGTTCATTTTTCACCAAATAAATATATTCTAGCATGTATCTATCACATAGAAACTATTTATAACACAAAAACACGATTTCCAAACATCAATTTGGGATTCTAATTTCAACCCAAGTGAATCAAAAACCTAGAAATTGAAATATTCAATCCAAGTTCATGTTACTAATCATCACCTAATGATATATAAACCCATAATTACAAGGATTCTCCCCCTTACCTTGATTGTAGCCACCTTAGGATTCTTCCTCCTTCTTCCCTTTGTTTCTCCTCTTTTCCTCTTTTCTTCTCTTCTCTTGTTATATTTTCCAATACTAACTCTGATTCTCTAATTCCTCTTCTTACTACTCTATTTCATTAATGGGCCTAACTCATTTACTCATTCTATTGTGACATAAAGTCCAGTCCTAATTAATTTTTATTCTTACTCATAAACCCAATTACTCAAATAACAAATATATTCAAATAATTAAAGAATTATCATACCACATAATAATTAAATAAATAAATAATGAATAAAATAACTAATAAAAATCGAAATGTTACAACTTAATGGAAAGTCTATGGAACTAGTGGACACTATGGTTAGAGGGAATATCAATTTTATGTGTCTACAAGAAACTTAGTGGATAGGTAAAAAGTTACAGAATTAGACAGCTCATGATTATAATGGACAAGGATTGGAAGAAATTGACACGCTGCAAGTATACAACGATATTGAAGTAGTAAAAAGGTTGTCAAACCACAGAGACCAAGTATTCTAATATTGGATTCTACCTTATCATTGTGTAGCTAAAGCGATCGAAAATTAGTTTGAGTTTGAAATGTATAAAATTCTAAATAAACTCTTATGAATGTATTATTCGATTACGAGTAACATATCAATGTTATAGAAAATTGGATAGCACCTACTTTAGTCCGCGTGTTGTCTTGTCTTAGACAAATAATCAGTCCACTTTCTCCAATCTAAATTATTTTTTGAGATTGATTTCGTGCATCTATAAAGATGGAGCTTCCTCAATTACGTTCGAGACACTTTCGTCGTCTCGTACTCAATTGTTTAGAATTCTATGTATGGGTACTAAAACATACTCTTTTAGTGTATGATTGGTACCTAATTCATCTCTACTTCCATAAATGACATTTGTGATAAAACTTAGAATTCTGGAATAACTTTTAAATTATTTCTCGTAATCAATGATAAAGCGAATAAAGCAATACATGACATACACATATTCAACGATAAAGGGAATAAAGCATACATGACAATTCCATACATGATAAAGTAAATAATAACAATAAAAATAAGAACTCAGATTAAAGCAAGAAAAACTTGAATAGGATGGATCCAATAGAGTTTAATATAG